AGGGGCCTCCCCGATCGATGGATACGATGTGATGGTAGCGGCTTGAACGCTGGAGGTGTCCCAGGGGGCCCCCGCTTCGGCCGCGCAGCATAGGTCACTCCTTGCCCAGGGGCACTCTTGCGTGTCGCCGGTGCGAGGAGAGAAGACAACCTCGAGCACATGGTGAACGTGACGCCGTGCGAGATCATGCGCTGCCCGCCCTGACCGCTGCGCGCTGCCCCTCGGCCACCATGAGCACCGCCGCTCCCCCGGCAGGGCCAGGCGCTCGGCAGCCCGGCGCCAGGAAGAGCTCGGGCGCTGCGCCATGGGAGGGCGAGCGATGTCACCACTTCTCGGCGGCGGGTTGCGGGGGGGGGGGAAGTGAGAAGGAGAAGGCCTTTTCACAAGGCGGCGGGACTGCTCAGAAGCCCTCTGGCCTGCTGAGGAGTCCTCTGTGTCTTCGGGGGACGCGCAGGAAGCCTTCCGAGCCTTTCTGAGGAGGCCAGCCCCTTCCCACTGCCCCCCCTAGGCTCGCCGCCGACAAGCCACCCCAACCCAACCCGAAGGTCCCAGGCCCCCAATTCTCCCTTTGGGGGTGTACGGGCTCCATCGTGTCTCCCCCACGTTCTGGGGTGCCCCCCCCCAGCCGGAACTTTACGATCCCAATGGTGACTTCGGGTTGGGTTGGGGTGGTTTGGTACACGTTGTTCACTTCTAAGTCTTCGAAAGTTCTTTGATTTCTGGGGGATCAAGGTCCTTTCATTTCTACTTGTTCTATCCTGGGCCTCTTCCTGGCCACTGGGGGGCCAGGAACATTTAGAAAAGAGCACAATTAGAAATGAACACGATTAAACATGAATGACGTGTAGGTTGTCAAGATGCGGGTTGTGAGGGAAGATGCGCCCTTCGTGCACTCGAGGAGCCCATCTAGAGGGGCCCTCTGTGGCCCAAGAGGGGCAGACAGGTGCAAGTTTCTGCGCCACCCCTATTGATGGGCCTGTTTTCCACCACCACCACCATAAGTTGGATGGGGGGAAGGAGGTGGAGGAGGAGGACGAGGAGGAGGACGAGGAGGAAGAGGAGGAGGAGGAGGACCCTCTCTCCCTCCGGCTTATGGTGGTGGTGGTGGAAAACAGGCCCATCACCTATTCTATCGCCCCCCTGTGACACAGAGCCCCAAAAGCTCGTGGTGCGCGCCGCCAGCACCTCTCAGTAGTGGCATCGGCGGCGCGGATGGAGACATCTGGTCGAGCAAAAGACACACTGTGCGCTGGCCGAAAGATCGCTCGGCTTACCTCGTGTTGGGGACGCCGTTCGGGTCGGGCGGAAGGGGTGGACAGGGAAGGGGGCGCCTGCAACATCTGCGGCCTGCAGCACGTTTCGGCCCCGCCGCCGGGCGCTCTCTTCAGTACGTGGCGCGGTTCCCTCGGCCACCTCGAGACCCGCCGCTCTCCGAGGGAGAGGCGCACGGCCGCCCGACACCGGGAAGAGAGCTCGTGGCGCGTGCCGCCGGCACGTGCCGAGTGGCATCGGGGCAGCGCGGCCCGAGCTCCACTGGGTAGAGGAAGAGATATTGGGCGCCAGCCGAAGTTTTTTTTATGCAGACGGAGTAGCCGGAAGGTCAAGTCGACAATTTAGCGATAACTCTTGGTTGCCTTTTCTGGCATTGCCGCTATAATAATGTTATTCGTTATCCTTCCTCCATGTTTCTTTTTCTATATTTACGCCATACCCCGCGCATTCGCCCTCCATCCTCCTCAGCTTTTTTTTGCGGAGGCTCCTCCTTGGAGAGACTCTAGGCGCCTCACAAAAATTGTTCCAGGCTTTCTTAAGGCCTTCTGGAGGCCTCCTGGGCGTATTCTGGGGGCCTCCAGGGGCTTCCTCGGGCCACCCTGTGTCCAACCGCCGTCTCCCTGAACGACCGAATCACGATTTGGAATTCTTCGGAGGGTGTCTTTGGGCCATCTTGGGCCGCCATAGGGGCTCTCTGAGGGCCATCTTGAACCCGTGTTGTGCCATTTTGGGGCTCTCTTGGACTGCCTGGAAGCCCTTTCGGATGGTTGTGGGGCGATGTTGGAGCCTCCCAGGCGGCTTCGGACGCCCAGAAGACCGCCGTCTTGGAGCGTCGGGAAGCCGAAAAGAGGAGAACCCCAAAATTCACGAAAAGCTTCAAGAAAATCTATGATTTTTGCCTCGGGCGGCCTTCTTGGGAGTGCTCTTGGAGGCCTCTTTGGGGCCGTCCTGGAGGCCTCTCGGGCCATCTTGAGGTCACGTCAGTCACTCTTGCAGCGCTCTTGTGCTGTCTTTGGGATCTCTGGGACGTCTCCGATGACCCCCCTGATCGCCTTAGGTGTGCTGGGAAGGCTTGGTAAAACGCCCTGCGAGGCCCGGTGGCTGCTTCGAGGCCCGTCCGGAGGGTCCCAAAGCCCCAGATCCCGGGAGTCAGTTTTTTTTGGAGGGGGGGGGGACGGGTTTTCTCCCTGCCCGGGCTTCCAAAAATGTAGGATGAGGAACATGCATATATATATATATATATATATATATATATATATATATATACACATACATCTACACAGTCGGGCCGAGGCGGCATGAGACCGAGGTCGGTTCGGGGAGGGTGCCCTACGTACCGTTCTTTGTGCTCGTTGGATGCCCTGGTGCGTCCTGGGGGAGTATACCCTCGAAGGTTCTTCGGCCTGGGCTGGCGGAGGGCCTCATGCCCTCGAGGGATGTCCTCCTGGCCCGGGTCCGCCTGTGGGGGGCGAGTCCGTCGGGGGCGCCCGCGCCCCGAGTCGAGGCCGCCCGGGCTCGGAGCTCGAGCAGCTCCGCCAGACTCGCCCGAGGCGTCGGCGCCGAAGGGCAGCGCGAGTGTCCGCGCCGGAGGCGCGGATCTGCGCCACCTGGGGCGGCACGGGCGGCCTCGACGAGCGACGGCGCGAGGCCCGAGGTCGTGGCGCGAGAGCGAGGTGCGGCGCGAGACGGGGATCGCTGGCAGTGTTGGCCCTCGCGCGCAACGGCGTCCTCCGCCTCCTCCTCCTCCTCCTCCTCCTTCTCCTCCTCCTTCTCCTCCTCCTCCTTCTCCTCCGTCCTATTAGACCCGCCAGGCAGGAGAGCAGATGGCGGTGTGTGTGTGTGTGTGTGTGCCCTAGCCTTCCTTCTTCGCAGGATGGTGGCCGTGCACTCTGATTGTCTAGGCGTGGCTAGGCTTCACAGCCAGACCGTGGCACAGCAGGTGCGTGGCAAGTGTAAGTATGCTGGACTGCGTCGTGGATTCTTACAGTGTGAAGATGCGCAGTATGTAGGTGTTGCTAGCCACACGCAGGACAGATGAAATTGATGCGTTGCCCGACGACGAGCGTAGGACTGCACGTGGAAACTTCTTAGCCGATAAGTGCGCTAAGGACGCGATTTCCATGCACCCCCAAGGGGGTTCCGATGTTTGGGCTGATCTTGACACCCTGGTTGTGAAGGCCCGAGCCGTGGCCCGTGTGATCGGGGCTGTCTTGCCCCAGTTTCCGTTTGCCCAGTTCCCTGAAAAGCAGAGGGTCCAGAGGCCTCGGCACACGGGCGCTGATCGTTGGCACGCTTGGACGGCTGTGCCTGGCGCGCCTGGCACATTCATATGTCATGGTTGCCATAAGCGCGTGTGCAACACTACTGCTGTACGTCTCGGCATGCGTGGATGTCCTGGTAGGCGTGCTAACTTTAAGTTCTTGCATGATGATTCACAGCATGGTCATGTCTTTGTCTTCACTAGGCTATCGTCTGGACCATCTGTCGTGTTCTGCCGACGCTGCGGCGCTTACAGCCAGGATCGCCGCAGTGGTCTCCTCGAGAAGCGATGCCGCTGCTGTCCCGTGTCGTCTGCCTCTCGCTGTCAGCTTGGCCGTATGCTCAGGGGTCTGCATCCACAGTCGAGTCGAGCCCCAGGTGTTGTGCTCCACATCTTAAGTGCTGTGGAGCAGCAGCGAATGCTTGTCGCACAGCAGCCTCAGCAGCGGGCGGTCTACTTCCGCCCGTCGGAGACGGGCCTGCTCCCAGGCCTGGAGGCCCTGCGGCAGCGTGTGGCCACCCGCGAGGAGGAGACTCGAGTTTTTCTTTTAACAGATGTATGGTTTAATCCCCTGGGAACAAAAACTCTTCCTCCTCCTCCTCCTCCTTCTCCTCCTCCTCTCCCCTCCTCCTCACCCCTCCTCCTCCTCCCCCTCCTCCTCCTCCTCCTCCTCGTCTTCCTCCTCCTCGTCCTCCTCCTCCTCCTCCTCCTCCTCCTCCTCCTCCTTCTCCATCCTCCTCCTCCTCCTCCTCCCTCCTCCTCCTCCTCCTCCTCCTCCTCCTCCTCCTCCCCCCTGTCCTGTTCGCGGCGCAAAAGGGAAGTGACTCCGCCGAGCGACTCAGGAAGAGCCCTCGACCGCACGCTTTCGCGCGCGCGCTCGCCTCGCGCCAGCCCAGGAGCTGGCGTCGAGGATTCCAGGAAGCCGCCAGGGACGGGCGGCTCGGTTCCCAGGCCGAGGCCGAGCTGTCAACGTCTGGGCGAGGCGGCTTCCCTCGATCCAGCCGGTGTCCATTGGTGCTGCATGCCCACTGAGCCCGAGGTTAGTTCCGTGGTATCGATCATCGTTTGGCGCTTCTTCGCGGCCGCTGGGCGAGGAGGTCTGGGCGCATGCAACGGCCGCATGAGCGAATGGCCGGTTGCAGCTTGCGCAGAGGGCGCGAGCAAAATCAGCCCCTAGATTTGCTCGTCATGCGGCGGCAATCGCGGAAGTCGCGCTTATGATCAGGCACGCGCCAGACCTGTGAACGGTCGGCCTCTCACGAAAGGAGCGCGCGGAGCGAGTTGGATGGGCCCTCTTCGGGCGCGTCCAGCGCGAGCCTGCAACGCCGGAGATGGGGGGCGCGAAGGTCTGGCAACGGGAAGGGCATCGAGATCGCATGTGGGCGGGGTCTCGTCGACAAGGTGTGCATGCCCAGGGCGCCAGGACCGCTTGCCAGCGCGGGGGCAAGCCCTGCTCATCCTCGGCCACCTGCGCTGAGCTGCGGGTGGCGATGTTGAGGTCGCCTCCGTTGCGGCGCACCGCATGACGCAGCTGACTAAGGTGCCCGACTAAGTCGGCGCTGCGCTGGGGCGCCAGCGGCCGCGCTGTTTGCCCGTTGCCCGCGAGTCAAAAGCCGACGCCCTAATTTTGTGGCACGCGGAAAGTTTACGTGCAAATCCTGCGTCGTAGACTCGCTCGCTCGGTATGCAACGTTGCGGGTGCGTGCATGGCGTCCGCGCCACTATCCGTTTCGCGGGCGCCTTCCTGGCGACACTGTTGGGGCGCTCAACTTTCTCAGTGGGCGAGACGTCGATCGGGTGGGGGAGGGACGACGACGAGGAGGACGAGGAGGCAGAGGAGGCGGCTTCAGGAGGAGCGGGAGGGGGTGGGAGGAGGAGGAGGAACGGCGAGGACGAGGAGGCGAAGGAGGCAGGAGGAACGGCGGGGGGAGGAGGCGGAGAATGAGGCACGGGAGGAGGTAGAGGGGGGAGGAGGAGCACGGAGGAGGGAGGAGGAGGAGGATGAGGACGCGGAGGAGGAGGAGGAGAAGGAGGAGGAGGAGGAGGAGGAGTAGGAGGAGGAAGAGGAAGAGGAGGAGGAGGAGGAGGAGGAGGAGGAGGAGGAGGAGGGGGAGGTTGAAACATGAGGCGGAGGGATGGGGAGGATGGGGAGGAGGAGAGGGAGGAGGAGGAGGAGGAGGAGGAGGAGGAGGAGGAGCGATAATGGTTTCACATGTGTTGCCGCATTGACGCTCAGGCTCTGATGCCTCAGTCTCTGCAGTGTTGACGTAGGGAAGGGGAGCAGGTGTGGGGTAGGCGATCTTAGGAATGAGGGATGATGCTGATTATGCCAGTAATGACGCTGATTCTGATGATGATGGTGATGGTGATAATGTTGATGATGACGATGATGTTAATGTTGATGCTGGTGTTGATGCTGATGGTGGTGGTGGTGATGATAATGCTGATGCTGATTCTGATCGTGTGGTTAATGATGATGATGATGCTGTTGGTGGTGATGGTTCTGATGCTTTTCGATGATGATGATGCGGTTGATGATGATGACGATGGTGGTGATAATATTGGTGGTAATGATGGCGATGATGCTGATGGTGATGATGATGATGGTGATGATGGTGGTGGTGATGTCGATCAGACTGATGGTGATGACGACGACGATGACGATGCTGATGATGATGATGGTGATGCTGATGGTGATGATGATGATGATGATGATGATGATGATGATGATGATGTTGTGGGTTATGCTGGGGATGGTTATGGTGTTGATGATGGTGATGCTGCTGTTGTTGCTGCTGTTGGTGATGATGCTGATCATGATGATGGTTCTGATGCTGAAGCTGATGCTGCTGATGCTGACGCTGGTGATGAGGACGATGATGCTGAGTATGATGAGGGTGATGATGCTGATGATGGTGGTGATGATGATGATGCTGACGTTGATGGTTCGGATGGTAGCGATGATGATGCAGACGATGCTAATTACGATCATGATAATGATGACGGTAGTGATGATGCTGCTGATGCTGATGATGCTGATGATGCGGATGTTGTTGCTGTTGGTGATGATGTCGATCCTGATGCGGATGCTGCTGTTGATTACGATGATGATGCTGATTGTGACGATGATAATGATGTTGCTGCTGCTGCTGATGATGCTCATGATGCTCAAGCAGATGCTGCTGATGCTGATGCCGATGATGATGACGACGATGATGTTGATGATGCTGATGATGGTGTTGATGATGATGGTGGTGATGATGATGATGATGCTGATGCTGATGATGATGATGCTGATGCTAATGGTGGTGACGATGACGAGGAGGAGGAGGAGACGGAGGAGGAGGAGGAGGAGGAGGATGAGGAGGAGGAGGAGGAGGAGGAGGAGGAGGAGGAGGAGGAGGAGCGACGGAGGGAGGGAGGGATGCCGAGAGGGGTCCCCTCTGCTCGCGGTCGCGGGTCCAAAGGTGGGCGGGGGGTTTCCACGCCGCCGCCGACCTCCCTCGCAAGCCAACCAAGGAGAGGCACCTGGACGTGCTTTCTGCCGCTTCGGAGGCCCAGCCCGGGCCGCGCGCTCCTCGCCGCCCACTGGCGGCGTCAGGAGGAGGGAGGGAGGGAGGGAGGGAGGGAGGGGAGTCCACAGGAGGAGGGAGGCCGGAGGGGGTGGAGGCAGGAGGAGGGGGAGGGTTTTGTTAGCCGAGGGGCCTCGCGCGTGCGCACTCCGTGACCCCCTTTGGCCGGCAGCTATGCCTGACACGCACGTGCGAAGAGACAGGCACAATCGAGACAGCATTGCGCACGGACAGGGTCTCAAAAGGCAAGTCGGCCTCCCATCCAAGAACCCCTGGAGGAGGGAGGGATGGAGGGAGGGGGGGAGGGAGGGGGGAGGGAGGGAGGAAGGAGGGACGATGTTGAGGAGGAGGAGGAGGAGGAGGAGGAGGAGGAGGAGAGGAGGAGGAGGAGGAGGAGCCATCATGAGTCGAGGAAGGAACGGCATGACCATGACCATGAACTGGCGGATTTTTCACATTGGCGCTGGCCCCCTCCCTGAAAGAGGAGTGGAGGAACCACCATGAAAGAGAAAAAGGTTAGGGAACGACGTCGTGGAACGGCCGCGCGGGCGCACATGGCTGACACAGCAGAGAGGAGAGAACCACACCAGGGCTCCCCCGCTCGCCGCACGCTTCCACCGCCCACCTGTGGGACCTTGGCTGACTGGAGGAGGAGGAGGAGGCGGAGGAGGAGGAGGAGGAGGAGGAGGAGAAGGGGGATGAGGAGGAGGAGGAGGGTTGTGAGGAGGGGGAGGGTGAGGAGGAGGAGGCGGAGAAGGGGCCCCCCCACCGACCTGTGGGACCTTGCCAGACTCGAGGAGGAGGACGACGAGGAGGAGGAGAAGGTTCATCAACTCTCACCTCCGAGGCCAGGCGGCCGTTGGAGTTCGCGCGCGGCGGGCCACAGTCGTGGGGACGTTCGGAGGTGCGCGCGCTCGCAGAGGAGCAGGAGGGGGAGCTGGGGCAGATAGACAGGAGGAGGAGGAGGAGGAGGAGGAGGAGGAGGAGGAGGAGGAGCAGCAGCAGTAGGAGGAGAGGAGGAGGAGGAGCAGGTAGAGCAGGCATAGAGGAGGAGGAGGAGGAGGAGGAGGAGGAGGAGGAGAGGAGGAGAGCGGAGGAGAAGGAAGAGGAGGAGGAGGATGAGGAGGAGGAGGAGGAGAAGGAGGAGGAGTAGTTAGAGCAGGTAGAGCAACAGAGCAAGTAGAGGGGGTGGTGATGATGCTGATGATGATGAGGAGGAGGAGGAGGACGAGGAGGAAGAGGATGACCAGGAGGAGGATGAGAAGGAGGAGGAGAAGGAGGAGGAGGAGAAGGAGGAGGAGAAGGAGGAGGAGGTGGAGGAGGAGGAGTAAGAGGAGGGAGAGAAGGAGGGGGAGAAGGATCAGCAGGATAGGGGAGAAGGAGCATGAAGCAGGAGGAGGAGCATCAGGGATGATGAGTATGCTGCTGCTGCTGCTGCTGCTTCAAACGATGACCATGCTCATGATGATGTTGAGGATAACGAGGAAAACGAGGATGCTGATGATGGTAATGATGATGGCCATGATGCTGATCATGATGCTTCTGATGCTGATCATGGCGATGCAGATGCTGATGATGATGATGAATGCGATGATGGTGATGACGATGATGATGCGGCTGCTGCTGATGATAATGCTGATGTTGATGCTGATGAGGCGGCTGATAATCATGCTGGTGATGAAGAACATGACGACGACGATGCTGATGATGCTAATGATGATGCTGATGATGATGATGGTGATGATGATGCTGATGGTAGTGAGGGTGCTGATGATGCGGACGCGCATGACGATGATTATGAGGGCTGTGACGATGTTGATGCGACCGCTCCCCGTGACGCTGGTGAATCGTATGGTGGTGATGGTGATGCAGGTGGTCATGCTAGTGACACTGCTGTTGATGATGCTGCCGACGCCAATGATTAGGATGAAGACATCGATGATGGTGATAATGATTATGATAATGCTGATGCAGCTGATGGCGATGATGATGCCGAGACTGATGCTGATTCTGATGTTGCTCATGATGACGATGCTGATCATGCTAAATATGATGCTGATGATGCTGATGATGATGATCATGATGATAATGTTCATGCTGATGATGCTGCTGCTGATGCTGATGCTGACGCTGCTGACGATTGTGATGATATTGAGTATGCTGATGATGCTGATGATGGTGGCACTGATGGTGATGATGGTGATGATGATGAGTATGCTGATGATGCTGAGGATCCGGATGTGAATGGTGAGGATGCTGATTGTGATGATGATGCTGATGATGATGCTGATGAGGATGAGGATGCTGATGATGGTGGTGATGATGAGGTAATGCTGATATTGCGGTGGTTGCTCATGATGGTGACGGTCGTGGTCGTGGTTGTGATAACGATGATGATGTTGATGCTGCAGATGCTGAAGATGATGATGGCGATGATGATTAGGAGGAGGAAGATAATGAGGAGGATGACGATGATTCTATTGATGATGATGCTGATGCTGCTGCTGATGATGATGTTGATGATGATGATGATGTTGATGATGATGATGATGATTATGATGATGATGATGCTGATGATGATGATGATGGTGATGATGATGATGATGATGATGATGATGATGATGATGATGATGATGATGATGATGATGATGATGATGATGATGATGATGACGTGGTGGGCCAGGACGACGAGTAGGCCAGGAGGAGGAGGGTGAGAAGGGTGAGGAGGAGGAGGAAGAGGAGGAGGAGGAGGAGGAGGAGGAGGACGAGGACGAGGAGGAGGAGGAGGAGGAGGAGGAGGAGGGTGAGAAGGGTGAGAGGAGGAGGAAGAGGAGGAGGAGGTGGAGAAGGAGGAGGAGGAGGGAGGAGGGACAGAGGCGAGGAGAGGGAGGAGGAGGAGGAGGAGAGAGGAGGAAGGAGGAGGAGGAGGAGGAGGAGGAGGGAGGGAACAGGAGGAGGAGACGACCAAGAGAGGAGGAGGCGGAGGAGGGAGGAGGAGGAGGAGGAGGAGGAGGAGGAGAGGAGGAGGAAGAGGACGAGGACGGGGACGAGGAGGAGAGGGAGAGGAGGGAGGAGGAAAGGAGGAGGAGGAGGAGGAGGAGGAGGAGGAGGAGGAGGAGCAGGACGAGGAGGATGAGGAAGAGGTCCTCAGGCTTTTCTGATGTTTTCGGCTCTCGAGCCCCCCGCGCCATCAGGTGTGAGAAAATGGCCGTGGGGAGACCCCAGGGATCCAGGGCACGGGCTTCGTCAGGGCCACTTCCCTCATGCCGAAACAAGACGAATCGCCGGAGTGCTGCCGAGGAGAGGAAGGATGCGGATGAGGAGGAGGAGGAGGAGGAGGAGGAGGAGGAGGAGGTGGAGGAGCAGGAGCAGGAGGATGAAGTTGAGGAAGGTGTGGGGGAAGGGGAGGAAGAGGAGGGACCTTGGCCATTCTAGCTTAGGCAATCCAGGCCTGGCTCCGCTAGCAGGCCAAACCCCGCTTTTTTTCTCTCGCCATGTCCGCGGATGAGAAGCCCAGCCTTCCAGCCGAGTACAAGGTCCCGAAGGTCTGGGAGTACAAGGAAATGGGTGGGCAGTTCGGTGGCACCAACCGCCCGTTCGCGGGCGCCTGGGGCGAGGACAAGCCACTCAAGAAGGGCGAACACGCCCTACAGCTGTACTCGATGGCCACCCCGAACGGCGTGAAGGTGACGATCATGCTCGAGGAACTTGTCGAGCTGTCCCCCGACTTCGAGTACGATGCTTGGCTGATTCCGATCAGCGGCGAGCAATTCACATCTGGCTTCCACTCGGTTAACCCCAACTCAAAGATCCCTGCGATGATGGATCACTCGGATCCGGCGAAGCCTGTTCGGATCTTCGAGTCTGGAGCCATTCTGATGTACTTGGCGGACAAGTATGACAAGGATGGCGTCTTCTTCCCGAAGGAGTATCCTGCGCGTGCGGAGTGCACCTCGTGGCTGATGTGGCAGATGGGAAGCGCACCGTTCATTGGAGGTGGTTTCGGCCACTTCTACAACTACGCGCCCGTTAAGATCGAGTATGCGATCGACCGCTACACCATGGAGACGAAGCGTCTGATCGACGTCTTGGACAAGCACCTCGCTGCTGGGGGGCCGTACATCTGCGGCGAGCAGTACACCATCGCTGACATGGCAACCTGGCCCTGGATCGGTAACCTCGCGCTCGGAAGACTGTATGGCGCGGCGGCGGAGTTCCTGGACTTCGAGAAGTACACCCACGTCCTTGAATGGGCCAAGCGCATCGCCGAGCGCCCAGCCGTGAAGCGAGGCAGGATGGTGAATCGACCGTTCGGCGAGCTCTCGGAGCAGCTGCATGAGCGCCATACCCGAGGAGACTTCGAGACGAAGACGCAGGATAAGCTTCAGGCGGCATGAGGCGTCGCGAGGGCCTGTTATCAGTGCTCTCTATGCTTTTGGCCTTATACCCGAAGGGCAAGCAGAGGGGTCGGACTAGAAGTAGAGAGGGTAAGAAGGGGGGGACGGGGAAGCTGAGGGTGAAGAAAGGAGGAGGAGGAGGAGGATGAGGAGGGTACGAATTATACTGCGCCAACTATTTTCCGTTTTCGGACCCTCTTAGGGTAGTGCCTTGTTTCGTCCAATCTCCCTCTTTCCTTTCCTTGGCGCCCCTGGCCTCGCAGTGATTTTGGCCCGTCATTATCTCCCGCGTTCCAGTGCCCATCGGGCGTGCGGCGTGCGAGCTCCTGGTGATCAGCGGAGCCGTTCCTAGAGTATGGCTTCTTGAGCCTGGCTGTCGTCAAGTTCTTCCTCAGACCACTCCAGTTTCCCCGGCACCTCGCGCATCTGTCTTCCCGCACACATGCCCGTGGCATGAGTCGCGCACCATGACTTACAGTACGGACACCAGGGTACCAGTTGCTCGCCTCATCCCCATCCTGTCGCTCTTGCTGCCCCGAGCACGGGCATGGCCGCTAGCGAGCATCATTTCGGTGAACCAATTCCGCGGTGTTTTGTTCATGAAAAACATTATATCAAGCAGCGCACGGGAAGGTAAGGGTGGACCTCGCCAGCGGCAGAAAACGTGATCAAGCGCACGAGCACCAAAGAACATGTGAAAGACAATCAGGAGTTCGGCATGTCTCAAAGTGGCTCGCTCACCACGCATGGGCTCTGTGCAAACATCAATCGATTGAGAAGAACGCTTTCTGACGCTGCTGGTAGGGATGGGAGGTTTGAACCCCCCCCCCGCCCAGAAAACGAGGGGGGAAGGGGGGGTCCAGACCCGCGCCCCCCCCCCGGAAAGTGATTGAGGGGGTTCAGAGACCCCCCAACGTCGGTCGTCGTCGTCGTCGTCGTCGTCGTCGTCGTCGTCGTCGTCGTCGTCGTCGTCGTCGTCGTCGTCGTCATCGGCCGGCGGCGGCGGCTTCGTCGTAGTTGTCGTCGTCTTCGTCGCCGTCGTCTTTCGCTTCGTCGTCGGCGTCCTTGTCGTTTTCGTCGTCGTCGACTGTTGCCTGCGGTGAGTAAGGGGGTCATTACCTCCCGTCTCCCCCCTCTGCGCGGAGGGTGGGGTTGGTTACCACTCCTTCGCCCTTGCGCGGGGGGTGGGTCCGGACCTCCTAATTCTTGGGTGGTGGTGGTGGGGCACAGTGAAAGTAAGGACGGGTAAGCTTCCAAAGGGCAGGCACCCTTGCGTCCTCAGACTTGTTCGGCAGTGCGCCGCTAGAACAGCTTCACTTAAGGAGTCCAAGGACCGTCCAGGGGTCTTGCGTCCCTACAGCGCGTCCTTACTGCAGCTGCAGATTTGACTGTACGAGGGGCGTTGGGGGGGTCAACTGGTTTCAGAGTCCCCCCAGCAGACTTGTCTCGGGCCAGAGACGGTGGATCATGTCCCCTCGTCGCCTGAAGATTTACCTGGAGATGTGCTGCGGTCGGCGGGTCGGAGGAAAACACGCATAGGTTTTGGTCAGACTAGGGGCCCATGATGGGGCACCACCTCGTGCCTTCCGCCCTCGATCCTGCGAGCAGCGCCGACGCCGAGACTTTGGGCCCGCGCGCACATGGCTCCCCTGAGTTGGCGGAAGTAGCTCATACATACAAGCCGTCGCCGATGGCAACGTTCGTGGAACAACATAAGACATCCCAATGGGCGTCAACTAACAGCGTGAGCAACAAGGCGCAAGCCACGCCATTGAGCCAAAGGGCTGGCACATTGTGGAACACGCCATGCCAGACTATGTCAAGCCACACCATGTCCCCCGCCTCCTCCCTCTCCTCCTTCTCTGCCCTATCTTTACCCCTCCTCCCGATTGGCTCTGCGCCCGCCAGGTTCTCTCGGAGAGGCTGGACGACGAGACTGCGAGCTTCACCGACGCAGACGCGGAGGGGGGGGGGGCGGGCGGGCTCTCTCACACAGGGCAAGAGGTCCCCGGAGGAGGACGAGGGAGGCAGGCGGGAGTGCTGGAGATGCCCAGGGGTCCTGCGGGGGCGCGGCCGACGGAGCAAAGCCAACTCGCGAGAGGAAAGAAACATGGCAGGCCTTCTCCTGAGGGGGGCGGGCCCCAGGAGCCTGCGCGCCACGACGGCCACTCTACCCTCTCAACCCTTTCCCCTTGCCATCGCTCGGACGTTCGCGTTTGTTCGGCGAGGGCCACCGAGGAGCATATCAAATCATCTTACGAGCAAGTAAACGCACGATATCGAAAAAGGCACGAGGAGTGGACGTCCGAGCAACGGGAGGACCCCGGCCCATCCGGCGTTTGCAATGTCTTCCGTGACGTGGGCCGCCCCCGATCACTTCCCTGGGGCCGGACTTTCACCCCCAGCCGCTTTTGGACAGCCCTGGGTGATGGGATTGTTTTTCACCATCACCACCATAAGTTGGAGGGGGAGGGGGTCCTCCTCCTCCTCTTCCTCCTCCTCCTCGTCCTCCTCCTCGTCCTCCTCCTTCCCCCCTCCAACTTATGGTGGTGGTGGTGGAAACAGGCCCATCACAAGGGCCTTGGCTTCGCTCGGACTCGTGCTCTTTGCTCTGGCGAGGACCCTCGAGGACCGTCGATGGCGAGGGCCTGGGGGAGCGGCCTCCCCATGCCCTCGACATCTTGGTTGATGGGCTTGTTTTCCACCACCACCACCATAAGTTGGAGGGGGGGAAGGAGGTGCAGGACGAGGAGGAGGAGGAGGAGGAGGAGGAGGAGGAGGAGGAGGAGGAGGAGGAGGCGGACGACCCCCTCCCCCTCCATCTTATGGTGGTGGTGGTGGTGGAAAACAGGCCCATCATTGGTTTTCTCAGGCGATCGCATACATGGATTAAGGGGGCGTGGATTAGCAACGGGTCCCGTTTCCACGGGAAATCTCGGGTTCCCGCCGCCGAAGGAGGCGGCACCGGCTGCGTTTTGGGGAGGGCACCTCCCCCGATCCGTGGATTTGGCGACCGCGCGCCTCATGCATGGATCCATGTTTGCGCGCCCCCGATTTTCGGTCAGGGCGTGGAGCACCAGAGGTCTGGACTCCTCCCCAGAAACCTGCTTTTCATCCTTCGCCGTTTCTGGTGGCAGTCCCCAGGCCCAACGAGGACCTCCAGAGGACGACAACAGCGAATCACCATCGGTCGTGTTGCTTTCACGACGCGAGGGGGTCTGGGTCCAACGGCGGAAGACCGGCCGCCCTGATTTTTTGCGCCGCACAGGCGTCAGGAAGACGCCCTCGACGCGTCCGCCCTGGCGCGCGCCGCGCCATGAGCTGGTAATTATCACCCATGCCGGTGGATTTCGGGGGGGGGGGGGGGGCACTACATATGTGTGTTTGTGCGTGTGTGTGTGTGTGTGTGCGTGTGTGTGTGTGTGTGCGTGTGTGTGTCTGTGTGTGTGTGTGTGTGTTTGTGTGTGTGTGTTTGTGTGTGTGTGTGTGTGTGTGTGTCTGTGTGTTTGTGTGTTTGTGTGTGTGTGTGTCTGTGTGTTTGTGTGTTTTTTTTTGTGTGTGTGTGTGTGTCTGTGTTGTCGGGCGAGGGCCCCCGCTCGAACGAGAGCACCCTCAGGATCCGGCAACTCGCACCCATAGCCACCGTGCCTTCACTCGGCGGCGACACCGGGGGAGAAGCGAGAAGGGGGCGGCCTTCTCAGAAGGCTCGGAAGCCCCTGGCCTCCCCGAGAAGTTCTCCACGCGTTCCCCGAAGCCGCAGGGAACTTCTCAGAAGGCGCGAGGGCGTCTGAGAAGCCCCGCCCGCCTCCTGAGGAGGCCTGCTCCTTCTCACTTCCCCCCCTCGCTAGCCGCCGATTCGCCACCTTGCCCTTCTCCATTCCTCCTGTCCTCACGCCTGTGTGTGTGGTCCTTTCGCCACCACGCGCGGCGACGAGGGCGCCCCGAGCGCGCGCGGATGCCCCGCTCCACGGGCCTCCGGTGGCAGGGACGTCCAGCGCGGTCGCCCTCCGCCCCCCCCGAACGAAGCCAAGACAGCGAGGTCGGGCGACGAGAGCACCTCGATGCGGCCGTCGGGGGAGCGCCAGTCGTTCCTCGTGTCCGTGAGCGTGCTCGCCATAAACTTTTCGGGGCGTTCCAGAAAGGGCCTGGCCTTCGAGGGTCGAAGGAGTTGCAATCTCTACCTCGGCGGAAGGCGGCGGAAGGTCGGCGGAAGTAGACCGAGGCCGCCTCCGCCCGCGGAAGGCCGGCGGAAGGCGGCGGAAGCGAAAGATGCGCCCCCCTAATAAATGAGCACATGTTTGGGTTCAGAGTTCCCAGGATCCGCCATATGAAAGATGTGTTGGTCCATTCCCCTGGTAAGGAGTCGCCCGATCGGAAAAAACCCAAGATCGGCGACGCGATGAGCACCTGCGGCGCACTAGTGTTTCCGTTTGTTTGCCTTGTGCCGGGGAGGTATGGTGAGCGTTGCAAGGTCAATCACCGACAGGCAGATCCACGCGCACCGTCGTTGCGAATAGACGTGGTCGCGCACAGGAAGATGTCGGCGTGGCCCACCCTCTGTTGAGATGACGTTGGACAAATCGTTCCCCCCCCCGCCGTTACATCCTTCGCATCCCAAGCCAGCAGTGCCCCATCTTCGTTCTTGCAGCCCTTGGCCCCCCCCCCTCACGCGTCACTTCTCCCCTTTCCCGCCCTCTGCTTCCGCCTACCAGGGCCTGCCAGGAGGCTTCGTGCACTTGATGCGGCTGGCCTTTTCGAGAGCTGGACACACGTGTGGCCCTGGGCCACACCAGCCGTGCGCGTGCGTATCCAGCTTGTGGCTTCGCGTGTTCCGCGTGTGCATCTAGCCGTGCGGTTTCCCATATTCTTGGTGCCCTGCCGCTTCCCGTCGCGTTCTCCTCTGGCCGGAGTGTTGCCTGGGATGGGCCAGGACGAGTTGGCTTCGGAGTTCGGGTGGAACCACGTGCAGGCCGCACCCCGCTCCCTGCGGATTCTGTCAGCGCGCGTGGCCGCGCTTCCTCCTGACGGACCCGCCTTCCTTCGGCCACCTCCTCATGTGATGCCACGCCAGGCACATTGAATTCTTAGGAGGTTGCATTCGTGCCTGGCCCTTTTTTATAGAATTTGGTGCGAATATGGTTCGGCCCGGCGAGCCCGTTTGATCATGGTTTCCCATTTGGCCTGATGCGGCCTCAATGATACAGCTGAGTAGCTCCGCAATCCGGCTGATTTGCTCATAGCCGTGTGGCCCACATGATGTGTATGTGGGCCACACGGCTATGAGCAATCAGCCGGATTGCGGAGCTACTCAGCTGTATCCCAGGTGTTGCTAACCAGTTAAACTGCCAGTTGCCACCCAGTGCAGCTAAAGGTGAAACACCCTCCCTGACAAATCTGGAACTTTGAAATAATGTATCGCCGAAGTTGTTAATAGGCAACGAGTTTCCCTTGCCCCGTTGCGGCGTCTGGGGTTGTCCGTTCCGTCTGCCCTGTTTCCTTCCACCTACTGTGATTTATTGGCCTTCCTCTTTTGCACCTGTCAGTTTCTGTGGACGCACTTCTGTAGCTGCATGGATTTGTCCTCGCAACCCCCGTGGGCGCGGATGTGACCGAGGGGCTGGTTCGTGCCCCAAGGTGTCGAGGCCTAGACAGCAGCCAAGCCCACCTTTGGCGTTGATATGCCAGCAGCACCCATCCACTGCCGCAACTGTTGCGCCCTCGCTCGCACAGAGCCAGGCCCCTCTCGGCGAAGGCCTCGTGGTGCACGACCCAGAAGCGAGTCGCCAACGGAAGCTGGGCAGCGTCAGGGACCGACAGCCGGAATCCCATCTCCTGCAGGTGGTGGAAGTCTGCCGGTGTACACCACGCACCAGAGCCCAGAAACAGGGAGCGCAGGGCGGCCTCTTCGGAAGGTCCCCACGCGTCAGGAAGCGCGTCTAGCTGCAGAAAAAGAGGCGACCACAGGCAATATGTACACCCTGAGGGCGAGCACGGTGAGGAACGTACCACCGCCCGCACTGCCCCATTCACGAGCACGTGCCAAGAATTTGTTCAGAGGCTTGTCGAACGCGCGCTGCCCGCGATCCAGGCCGAGGACAAAACCTACAAATTTTGCGAAACCTGCCGCGAGAATGTCAACCCACGGTGAGAAATTCGTCGCAATCGACGTTGCAGCCCCATCCAGGTCACAAGGATACAACGGCACGGCCATTGTCTTGTGCACAGTCAGCCGCAGCCCAGAAATCCGGGAGAACCTCTCGAAAATCTGCACGAGGATTGGGAAGAGATGAAAGAAGGAGAGCGCCTTGATCGATCTGCCGTATGGCACCTGCGGTTCCATCGGGCTGTCATATTTCAGTTGGACGAGTCCATCTCGCACTGCGCAAGGCTCGGAGTACAACCATAGGACTTGGAAGTTCAGCAGGCGCAGGATGCGGCTCGCCCTTTCCGCCGAAGCACAGCACTGGCAGCACGTCGCTCTTTTCAGTGGGCGGCTGTGGCGGCGCTAGCACATGGCAGGCGCACATGGCTGGAGGTCTGGGCCCGACATAAGCTGGCCAGGTGGGACGTCAGGAAATTCCCGCGCATCCGTGCGCAGCGGTGCTTGGATGGCCTGCGACGGTTGCCGTCTTCAGTCCCGCCCCGGGTGCTGGCGGCAGTATGGCGTACTGCGTGGGACGTTTGGATAACACACCGCCGCTTCCCATACGGCAGAAACGTTAAACAGATACATCTTCTGTGGGCCTTCTGCACCCGATTGCATTGAGCATTACGCCGCGTGTCCAGCAGTGTGACGCTTCGCTGCTGCTAGTCTTGGGCTGCGCCGACCAGAGGCACGACCTGCATGTTTGCCATGCTCTTTGTATTAGGATTTGTCGTCATCCACGAGCAATGCCTCCCCAGATCTCTTAGTGCGGAAAGCGTTGCGGACAGCTGCCGTGTACAGAGTGCATAACCTCGTTCGGCACGGCATTGTGGGGACAGGGTAAACAGCTTATGAGGCGCTTCGCCAATCTATCTGTGAGCTCGTCCGAGGGCATGCGGCTGCGCAGCGAGCGCCTAGACACTGGTGCTGATATACTGGGGAGGCCGCTTCAAGAGGAGGCACGGGGTTCCCATCCTCTTTCGGCTACGGTGCTCCCCTTTGCTTCCATTGCATCTTCGTTCAGCGTTTCTCCTACGTCCACGGCTACTTCCACAGCATCATTTACGTCTTCCTATTTACCCTCCGGTTCCATTGTCGTCAGTGCTCTCCCCGTCCGTTGCCACACACATCCACACATACTTTTTGGTGTCGTGGCCGTGCGCGCGGCGACAGGGCGGAGAAACACACGCACACTGAACACGCACACACACAAACACACACACACAACACACACACACACACACGCACGCACGCACGAACGTACGCACGCACGCACGTACGCACGCCCGCGCGCACACGCACGCACGCACCCACACCCACACCCACACCCACACCCACACACCCACACACCCACACACCCACACACCCACACGCACACACCCACACACCCACACACCCACACACCCACACACCCACACACCCACACACCCACACACCCACACACCCACACCACAACACAGCACAGCACAGCACAGCACAGCACAGCACAGCACAGCACAGCACAGCACAACACAACACAACACAACACACAGAACGAACACACAACACACACACACACAACACACAACACACACACACAACACACAGCCACACCCGCACACACACACACACACTCACACACACACACACACACGACCGAGGGCGTTTTGCGCGCCGCGGTAGCAGCGTTCCGCTGCCGCCCTTCGGTGACTTTCCCCGCGGGCTGGTGCCGCGCCCCCTCCGAGACGGCAGCGGCGCGGGAGCGGCGGTCGTGGCGCTGTCGAGGTGACCATCCCGACTGCGGTGGATGTCGGGCACCACCCCCCGCGGTGGCCAGGCCATGGGAGCCCACCCGCCAGGCTCAGCGACGGGAGCTCCGTGCGCAGCCTCGTCGCGGGGCTGAGGCAGAGGAGGGGTGTTGAGGAGCCGGCAGCGATGACGCTGGCGTGGCGGCCCTGGCGGATGGGGCGGGCCCCGCTGATGCCGCTGATGCAGCGGGTAGAAGCTTCGCCGACGGCTCCCATGCGGTGGACAAGGCCACGGACGGCGGCGGCGAGGCAGCTGGTGGTGCACGCGTGGCCCTTGTGCTCGTGCAAGCGCCCGCGGCGGCGGCCGCAGCCGACGACGACGACGAGGACGACGAGAAGATGAACGACCTGGACGACGAGTGGGCCGACGCGCCCCCCGCTCGGTTCCCCAGGCCCCCTCTGCGGCCGCTGGACCCGGCCTCAGGCGTGGCGCCAGCGCTGGCCGAGCTGCTTGCAACGCCCGGGGGAACGCGAGGGCATGTTGTTGCTGCTCCGTGCGCGGTCGTCGGACCTGGCTGCTGACGAGGCAGCGAGCACGCGTTGGCGTGGATTTGTGGGAAGGGGGAGGAGGAGGAGGAGGAGGAGGAGGAGGAGGAGGAGGAGGAGGAGGAGGAGGACTATAGACTATATGGCATGCGACAACGAACGTCGAGACTGTGGCGGATGAGCGTGCTGCAGTGTCCAGTAGCGGGGGGCCGATTGAGCCCTAGAGGGGGGGGTCAGGGCCAAAATCAGGCCCCGCAAGAGCGCCAGCCCCCCCCCCTGGCGGGATAAATTCTGCAACGCGCGGATCTGTGCCGAGGCATGCGCGCAGGAGGAACACGAGCCTCCGCGTCGACAGGCCACCAGCTCAGCCCTCGTAGCCGAGCGCGCCGGCGGGGTTACGGTCCCCCACCGTCAGAAGTAGAGCGACCATTTGCCGAAGTCGCAATAGCAGGGGGAATGGCGGGACCCCACCGCCTGAGCCAGCCGAGTACAGAACCACGAATTGGTGCACTGCGAAGTGCCGCCTCACTGCACCTGTGGCTTCGCTAGCTTCGCGATCTGCGGCTGCACCTGCGCGACGGTGTTGCCAGCCATCTGGCACGCGCGGCGCCAGCTGCCGCGTACGTCCTCGATCTCCTTGGTCATGCAATCCGAAAGCAGGCCTGGTTCCATCATCTCGTCGATCTCCTGGAAGATGGACTCTGAGCGCTCGGCGGACTTCGCCATCGCGGCCTGGAGCCACCTGATCTTCTGGATCTCCTTCGTCACAGGGTACGCGACCTGCGCATTCAGCTCCTGGATGGTTTTGATCTTCGCGATCTCTGCCCCTTTCGCGGCCTGCGACTCCGCCTCGGTGGCGGCCACGGAGTTGCCCTTCTTTGACACTGCCTCGATGTCCTCGATATTCTCGTGCGGCTGTTCGCAATCCGCCTCCTCGTGGTACGGCCGCGTCGACGTTCTCAACGTGCGGCGAGGAGGAGGAGGAGGAGCAGCAGGAGGAGGAGGAGGAGGAGGAGGAGGAGGAGGAAGGACTGGATACGGAGGGTGAGGAGGGGAAGGGGGCGAGGATGAAGAGGCGCAGGCGTGGGAAACTGGATTCCTCGCGCTTCGCGGGTTGGGGCGTCTTGGGGGCCTCATGAGGCATCTTGGGTGCGTCTGGGGCCATCCGCCATCCTCGGACGCTCTGGAACTGCTTGACGCCTTCGGATGCCGTTCAGGTGGCCTCTCAGGGGGCTTCTTGGGAACCTCGTGTGGCACCTTGGTGCCCCCCTCTTGGGCTGTCTTGGGGCCCTCTTGAAGGTTTATTTGGCCGTCTTGGGGCCTTCTTGGAGGCCTCTTCGGCCTTCTTGGGGCGGTCTTGGGGGCCTCTGGGGCCGCCTTGGACGCCTTCAGGACCAACGCGGCGGAGATGCAGAACATGTCAGTTGCCCAATGAAGGAATGTGGCAATCCTTGCTTGTGGGGCCCTCCCGGGGTCGTCAGGAGCCTCCGGATGCCTCTGTAGGCTTTCTTGGGCGGTCGGCAGGCCCTCTGTCAACGTGTGCAGGCCCTCTCTGGGCGACGTGTGCAGACTCGCCGTCCGCAGGTCCACATGGGGTGGGGGGAGGAGCGCGCGCCCGGGCCCCCCTCCTCCTCCTCCTCCTCCTCCTCCTCCTCCTCCTCCTCCTCCTCCTCCTCCTCCTCCTCCTCCTCCTCCTCCTCCTCCTCCTCCTCCCCTTCCTAGCTCCTCCCCCTCCTTCTCCTTCTCCTCCTCTTTCTCCTCCTCCTCCCTCCTCCTCCTCCTCCTCCTCCTCCTCCTCTCCTCCTCCTCCTCCCTCCTCCTCCTCTCCTCCTCCTCCTCCTCCTCCTCCTCCTCCTCCTCCTCCTCCTCCTCCTCCTCCTCATCCCTCCTCCTTCTCTCCTCCTCCTCCTCCTCCTCCTCCTCTCTCTCCTCCTCCTCCTCCTCCTCCTCCTCCTCCTCCTCCTCCTCCGTCCTCTTCCTAGCTCCTCCCCCTCCTTCCTCCTTCTCCTCCTCTTCCTCCTCCTCCTCCTCCCTCCTCCTCCTCCTGGAAGTCCTGGTCAGAGCGCGCGCCCTGGAGAGGTGCCGGGAGGAGCGGTGTCGGCATCTCTCTGCCCCCCCCCCCCCCCCACACACACACACACAGAGGACGAGGGCGAGGAGCTGGAGGCGACCAGGGTGTCTGCGTTGGTTGGGGCCCCAGAACGTCGGCCAGGAGGGGGGGGTTGAGGCCAAAGCCATTCAAAGTCGGTCCCCAGGCTACTCCCGGAGTCCATTCCACCCGGGATTCTTTTGTCCTTGTCCCGAGGCCCGAAAAGGGCCCCCGAGGCCAAAACAGGCCACATAACCGTCCCGAGCCCAGAACCTCGACCGTTGCCCCTCCTTCCTGCCCGCAGGAAGCAGTGCTCGGCCACCTCAGACTCCCAGCCGGCTCCAAGCGAGGAGAACGACGACGAGGACGGCGAGGAGAACGACGACGACAGGAGTCGGCGACGAGAGCGACGGATCGCCGCGCCGTCGTCGCATTTCGGCCGCTGCCCCCCACCGCCGGCAGGCGCTGGAGGAGCCGCTGAGAGCCGCGTGAGTCGCCATGAAGGCAAGGAACCAAAGCCGACGCTGGGCCCAGGACCGCCGAGGCGCTTCGGGGCGCGAGCGACAGGGGTCGATGCAAGCGGGGGTCAGTCAGAGCGCTGGGTCTTGCAGGATCTCGCAGGGCCGGGGTTGTACTGGCCCGGGTTTTGGACGCAGGATCCTGCAGGATTTTGCGGGACCCTGCAAGACCCGACTGACCTGGGCCTGGATTGACCCGGGCCAGCAGATCCCCGAGCGCTTGCGCACCTAAGCGAGGACCCCCCGCAAAAAAAAATCGCGAGCACTTCCGAGCGCGCGTCCCCGGAGGACGCCGCACCGCACTCACAGACGCACGCTGGAGGGGGAAACTCGACTTCCCGCCGCGCACACGTTCCGGGGGAACCCCGGAGAACCTCGCGTCGCGGAGAGAAGCACGGCGGGAGGTTTTTTTGTTTTTGTTCGGCCTCCACGCAGGAGCCTTTGCCGGGCCCTGGGGCCGCAACAAGCGACTCGGGGTGAAGGGTTGGGGTTGGTCCCAGGGAATGGGTCGAGACCTTTGTGGGTCGACGCGAGGAACAATTCATGGCGCCGGGGGTCTGGGGCCCTGACCTTCCAGACTGCAAATGGCACTCCAGACCTATCATCAGATCTATCTGGAGCGCCTCAGACCTCGGCAGGAATTGGGACGTCGACGTCCTGGTGCTATCTTCTGGCCCTCTTGGAATCAGGAGGAAAACAAACACACAGACACAATTAATCCGCGATTCCTTCGAACATATGGGAAAATATAGGAAGTGGGGGGGAAGACAGAAACCCAGAACATATGGAAAAATACGGGGAACATTTTTATTTGTGTGTATTTATTTGCGTGTCCTGGGGCCCCTTCATGGAAGGTCGGGGGGCGAGGGGGTCCTGCAGTCTTGGGCTCGGGGCGGGCCCTGGAGGTCTGGGCCGCTCCTCGGGCGAGCCCGGCCGGGGAGCTATCGCTCCGTGGCCGAGGCCCGCCGTGGCCGGCAGCGCCTCGCGGCGCTCCGCGGGCAGCGCTTTTCTCGGGGGCGGCACGAGGACTGCAGGCCCCCCGGGGCCTCCCCCCCTCGGGGCTTCGGCCCTCCGCCCCGAGTTTCGCCTCCTGACGTCGCTGGGGCCCAGTCGAGGGCCCGGGGGCCCAGGATCGGGGGGCGACGTCCAGGGCCCCTTCCGCTGGGGCGTCGAAGAGGGAGGCGAGCGTTGCAGGTTTGCTTTGTGGCAACGGGCGTCTGCGCCCAGCTGCGGGCCCCGGGACTTTCACAGATCGATCCGGCTCGGCAGGTGATGCAGAAAACATGGGTCCAGGGCTCCTGTGGTGATTATCTGCGCTGTTGCATGCTTTTTGCAGCGCTCAGATCTGAGAGAGGAGTGGGTGGATATCGGATATCGTGGCTGGGGCCATGATCGGGCGGGGCTAGGACAAGGAAGAATCCGTTCTAGAGCGTTCCAGGACGCTCTCAGAGCGTTCCGGAATGCTCTGGGAAGGCCGCGGCGCCCGAGACATCCTCCAGTGCCACCGGATTCCTGAGACTCTCGATGTATCCTCGCCCGAATTCATCCTCGTGCTGGCGTCGTCTTGCACGAAATCTCCCGGACTCCATGGCCCCCTCTTCTTCGTCAGGCCCCCCCCCCTCCTCCTCCTCCTCCCTCCCTCCTCCTCCTCCTCCTCCTCCTCCTCCTCCTCCTCCTCCTCCTCCTCCCTCCTCCTCCTCCTCCTCCCTCCTCCTCCTCCTCCTCCTCCTCTCCTCCTCTCCTCCTCCTCCTCCTCCTCCTCCTCCTCCTCCTCCTCCTCCTCTCCTCCTCCTCCTTCCTCCTCCTCCTCCTCCTCCTCCTCCTCCTTCCTCCTCCTCTTCCTTTTCCTTTTCTCTTCCTCTTCTCTTTTCTCCTCCTCCTCCTCCTCCTCCTGCTCTTCATCCTCCTCTGCCCCCCCCCCCCCCCTCGCCCGCACGCGCGCCTCTGGCCATGGTGCGCTGCACCCCCTGCCTCCAGGCTCCCCTCCCCATGCGGCGCACCCCGCCGCCCCTCCAGGACACCCGTACCCCTCGTGCAGGGGGTGTTGCGTGCCGTTTCGGTCCGTGCTGTGTCCGGGAGGGAGGCGCGGCAGGTGGAGTTACATGGGGAGGAGGGAGGGGACAGGGGACGAGAAGGAGGGCGAGGGCAAAAGGGAGGAGGAAGGGGAGGGAGGGAGAGAAGGCAAGAAGGAAGGAAAGAAGGAAGGACGGAAGGACGGACGGTCGGACGAACACATGATGATGCTGATGATGATGATACTGATGATGATGATGATGATGATGATGATGATGATGATGATGATGATGATGATGCTGATGATGATGATGATGCTGATGATGATGATGATGATGCTGATGCTGATGCTGATGCTGTTGCTGATGCTGATGCTGATGCTGATGCTGATGAGGATGAGGATGAGGATGAGGATGAGGATGAGGATGAGGGTGATGATGATGATGAGGGTGATGAGGGTGATGATGATGATGATGATGATGATGATGATGATGATGATGATGATGATGACGATGATGATCAGGATGAGGATGAGGATGAGGATGAGGATGAGGATGAGGATGAGGATGAGGATGAGGATGAGGATGAGGATGATGAGGAGAAGGAGGAGGAGGATAAATGGGCGGAGGAGGACCCCTTTTCCTCCAGGACCCGCTTCCCTCATGCATTCACCGAGGCGCCGCGCGGGCTTCCCACACAGCGGGGGGCGCCGCGCGTGCGGAAAAGCTCCTTAGGGCGCCACCGCGCGCCGTGATGTATGTTGGCATCCTGCTTGTGCTGCTCTCGGCGCCCTGATGCACAGGAGGCGGGCGCCACGGGGGGAGGAGCGCCAGTCAGGGGGCAACGGCAGAGGGGAGCCTGGCCCCAGGCCCGCCCGCTCCTCGCCGATTCGGGGCCCGGGCGCCCCACCGACCCAGGAGCCGTTCCCCCCCCCCCCTTGCAGTTGGAAGCTTCGGGTCGAGTGCCGCTCCGCCCGCTCTGGCCCACCACGCTGCGGCGCGACACGGCATCCACATCCTGGCCCCCCAGCGCCGGCGTCCAGAGCTTCTCCTCGCCTCCCGCCCCGCGGAGCTGAGAGTCATGCTATCCGCTCGCAGGGCATAGCGTGTCGCCGGGGCCGCCGCCGCGACACGCCAAACAAAAGTTCTTGACCGTACCGTTCCTCCTCAGCCAGGAGGGGAGCCTGTTTGTGGCCGAGGCTCGCTGTGGCCACAAAAACGTCTCCGTTCCTTATATCTGGCGCTCCCCATCTCAGAACGGTGGCTGCGCTCGCCCTTCGTCTCCTTCGCCCTCGCCCGCCTGCTGCTGGTGCTCCTGCTCTTGCTCCTGCCCCTCTCGTCCCGTGCCTCTCTCGTCCTCCCTCCTCAAGCTCCCTCCTCTCTTCTCCTTCCTTCTCCTCTCTCCTCCTCTCCCCTGGACAGTCATCCTTTCGTGCAGGCGTCACGAGACACTTGAGTTGGCGGCCGCCTCGCGGGCGTCAGCGGTCCGCTTCGTGTGGCACGGCCCGCCGGCAAAGCAAGCGCACGGGCGGGCGCGGCTCGGCCATAGGGCTCAGGTGCAACGATAGGGAGGGATATGCTCGTGGGGGAAGCCTCGAGCTGGAAGCGGCGACACATCGCCGATAGCTCGGCGATAGGGTCCCCCGATAGCGAATCCGCACGTTCCTGGACAGGGTGGGCCATCAGGCCCCCGTCGGCGATGTGTTGCCGATCCCAGCTCGATGCTTACCCTCCCGAGCCCCTCCCTTGTCTTTGCCCCTCCAGGGCGCGGCGGCGGCCAGCGGGCGATTCGCACGACGGAGTGCGGCCGCGCGAGCTGCCTCCCATGTTGTATATATTTACGGGCTGGTCGCTGCCGAGGTGTGCAGACGGCACTGTGTGTACATACCGCCCGGCCGAGTCATTGGTCGCTCAGTGCCCCTCGACTGTTGTAGACTGCCACCGCGTCATGCGCCCAGAGCATGGCCGGGGAGGCGAAGAAGAAGGATCAGGATTAGCGGGCGGTTGGCGGTGTAACACACATGTTTCCGCCATCGGGGGCGCCTGCCCCGGGGCGGCTGAAATTTCCAGGCCGACGTGACACCATAGGCTGATATAACGCTCCAGCCGCCCTGGGACAGGCGCCTCGATGGCGGAGCCTGTCCTGTCATGCAGCTGCTGCTCCGCGAGGAGGGGGGAAGTGTCCGCGGGCCAGAGATAATTTCATGACTCCTGGCGGCGCCGCGCTCATTTCTCAGAGCGCCATCCGCCACGAACCATGGCGAAGCGCAGGTTGAGCCTCTCGCCCCTCCCCACCTCACCTCTCCTCGCCCCCTCTCCTCATCGACACTACCTCGCCCGTCGCTCCTCGACCCCACCTCGACCCCTCCTTGCCCGTCCCGAAACTCGGCCCCCCTCGCCTCTTCCTGCCCTGCCCCGCCTTCGCTCTTCCCCGGCCCCTCGCCTCTTTCTGCCCTGCCCCGCCTTCCCCCCCCCCCCGCCCCCCCCGCCTCCCTCCACCCCCTCTCCTCGACCCCTCCTCCCATGACCTTCCAGGAGGACTAAACAATAGCACCAGGACGTCGACGTCGATGTCATAATTCCTGTCGGGGGTTGAGGCGCTCCATATGGATCTGTAGGTCTGGAATGTTATTTTTTAGCGCTCTGGAAGGTCAGGGTCACCCCCTCCCTCTCCAAGGAAGGAGGACAGGAAGAGGAGGGCAGAGGAGGGAGGACGAATCAGCGCGGTGGCGTGTATTCAGGGGGCCCGCCGAGGGGGCGGCGCGCGGGTCCATCCATCCTGCGGGCGTCCGTGAGCTGCGGTTGCTAGGCCGACCGCGCGCGGAAGAGCCCACGGGGGCCCCTGGGGGCCCCAGAGTGGGCGCTGCGAGCGCGCCGCTCCAAGCCCCAACCCGCCGAGCAACGAAGGGCAGCGCGAGCGCGGGCGCCTCGGCAACGAGGGTGCAGAAGCAGGGGGCCGCAC